CCCCAAAACCCCAAAACCCCAAAACCCCAAAACCCCAAAACCCCAAAATCAAGTGATTATTCAAATTTTTAAAATATGGAAGAACCAACAGAGGAAGCTCCTCATCAGATCATTGATACTCTGGAAGATATTGAAGCATATGAAGGTAAGTCGACCAAAATTAATCCAAAGAGGGTATTTTACTGCTTCGGAGTCAAAGTTTGATCTAATTTCCTATTATTTTCTTTATTTTCACTCATAAATTTCCGATATAGAAGATGAACCGGACTTTTATAAATTTGGACATGATGAAAATGGAGACCTACACAAAGTCTCAGAGCAACTAGGCAACCCACAAATGTTCGAAGAAATCCCTGAATTCTTTGTAGACGGAAATGAAGAAAGAATCCAGAAAAACGGGACTGCAAAATTTCAGAATTTAGAACAATTTTTGAAAGATGGTGAAGGCGATATAGAGCTGACCTCTAATGAAGAAAATCAAGACCCAAGGGAGATTTCAAAGTCTTCTCATGAGAACCCCTTGAGCGAGTCTTGAGATGATTTTGGAACGAATGAGATAAGAGACACAGTAGTTTCGATCACGAAAATTCCGAAAATACCTATTGAAAAAGTCCAATCAAGGAACAATGCTAACTCAGGATTCATTGTGAACAGGATGGTCAGTGATATATCTCCTTCATACGATCCCAATGTTAATATCAACCATCCATTTGAAAATATTGGAGAAAAGAGTGATTCAGATATTTTCTCAACTGCAAAATCAATCGAATTTCACTCAAGCAGAATTGGAATGAGAGGGAATGGGAATACATCTGCTCGAAGGGAATCAGATATTAGTCAACCTTTCAACAGATCAAGACCCAATGAGCACGACGATGAATTGCTCATAGAATCTCTGATGAGAAATGCATCTCAGCTACAACATGTTATGAAAGATTACATGGGTTCTGAAAGAAATGATGATATCACAGAACGAGAAGATAGGCATGAGCTGAAAGAAGAAATATCTAATATGCGTGATAAAATTTATAGGTAGTCCTCATTTCTAATGTTTAGAGCACTTGAAGAGTACAAGGATCAAGTAGAAAAATGCATCTACAAGGCTGAGTTCATTGAAGAAACCATGAAGACTGATCTAAAGATCCAGAAGGAGGAAATTGACAGCTTCAGTAAAATCCAAAACTCTCAAACTGACTCTGTGATGCATCTGAATAACTTCGAAGAATTTCTTGAAGTAAAATCTTTAGAAGTAGAAAACCTGGAGTCTCAAATCTTCAACAAAGACAGTGAAACAGAGCTTCTTAAGAAGAAATACACAGATCTGTACAAGAAGTATGAATTAATGATTAAGTCGATGTCTGAGAAGATCAAGATAAGCAATGATGAGTACTCTGAGCTCCTACAAATTAAAAAGGACTTAAAATCCACCCTTTCCAAGGCCCAAGAAAAGGTGAATTACAAGCAAGCCCAAGTTGACGAAGAGAACAAATAATATCCAAGAAGAGCTAAAGAGAATAGATGAGTACAACAAGAAGGTTGAGGAATGTGAGAGACTCAAAGCTGAAAACTCTGAAAAATCCAAGGTTACTAAAGACATAGAGGAAAACAACATTCAGATTGAGGACCAAATAAAACTCATCCTTCAGATGAACTTTGACCAAACACAGAATTTTGATAACCTTATTGTTGAGAACAAGAAATTTTTAGATGAAATGAGGAAAATAGCATTCCAAAAGAGAAAGGAGGTCTACAGTAGCCTTGATTTATTAATAAGAAAACATTTGGTAAGCTGATGATGTAATCCCTTAGAATGCAGCTAATGCCAAAGGAGTCCTTGGTCACAAATACATCACCAATGCTATTTCAGAACAGAAGGAGCAAAAACAAGCACTCCAAAAGCAAATTTGCAAACTTGAAAAGACGATTTCAAGCAAAAGAGAAGAAATTAAAGATGACAAGGTAGGTTTAACAGTCTTAATCATGTATAGATTTACAAGGAAAAGCTCAAAGCAAGCCTTTCTTCTAAAATAAAGAACCAACTTATCATAATCGGGTGCCTCATAGTTGTCCTACTGTATGTATTTTATCATAAAAATATCTAAAAATTTCTGGGGTTTTGGGGTTTTGGGGTTTTGGGGTTTTGGGG